AATAAATAAATAAATAAATAAATAAATAAATAAATAAATAAATAAATAAATAAATAAATAAATAAAAAGAGGATCATCTAGTGTGGTATTAAGGACAGGGACTCTGGTTTACCTGAGTCTTCAGTCTGGTTTGATCAGTCAAACCATGATTTGCTGTGTGACTATAAGCAAGTTACTTAACCTTTCTGAACCATATACATTATATATATGGTAAGACCTCTTTTCTTAGGAGTACTTTTAGATTCACAGAAAAATTGAGAGGAAGATACAGAGATTTCCATCTACCCCTGACCCCTCACATGCACTGTCTTTCTCTCTCCAGAGTGGCACATTTGTTACAACTGAATTCTCATCTTCACCCAGAATTCATAGTTTACATTATGGTCCACTCTGGTGCATCCTGTAACTTTAGACAAAGGTAAAATGGTATGTATCTACCATTATAGTATCATATCAAAACTTTTACTGCTTTAAAATCCTCTGCATTCTCACCTTTGCATCCTTCCTGTCCCTAGTCCCTTATATAGCCACTGATCTCATTGTCTCTATAGTTTTATTTTTAATTTTTCCAGAATGTCATATAGTTGTCATACAACAGATAACTTTTCAGCTTGACTTTTTTTACCTACTAATGTCTATTTAAGTTTCCTCCATGTCTTTTCATGGTATGATAGCTTATTTCTTTCTATAATTGAATAATATTCCATTGTTGGGATATAGTTTACTTCCTTGTGTCTTTAAGTGGGATAAATTACAGATATACTCACACAGGCAAACTGTACATAAATATTCATTGTAGTCTCATATGCAGAGACTGACAACTCAAAGCAACCCAAATGCCTCTTGGAAAAAAGGACAGCACAGCCTTCTGCTGAAATACTATGCAGCTCTGAAAACAGACAGGGAAGCTCCTAATATACTGACATGCCACAATCTCCACAATTAGTAGTTAGTTTAAAAAGCATAGGGCAGAATAGTGTACGGAGTATGTTTTTGCTAATGGGAATTATAAGTGAAGAAATGATAATAAACATATTAGTTGTAAATGAAAAGGCTGCTTCTGGGAGATCTCCCAAGAAACACAGACTGCCGCCAGGAAGGGAATCTGGGGGCCAGGATGGGGAAGAAGATTTTCATGGTATATATTTTTTATGCCATTTGACTTTGGAATGTGTTTCATCTACACCTTTAAGTAATAAAATGAGTATTAGCATTTCAAGATTTAAAAAGAGCTAAGGGGAGCGAATGAAGAGTCCCTATATCTTAGGGCCTTGACGATACTTGAAGGAACAGAAGCAGGGTCCAGGCCATGGCACTGTAATGGATTGCTGCCCCTGCTCCATTGTGGGGGTGGGGACACACAGAAAACAGCCTCTGAATTGACAGTACAGATTCCAAGTGTGTTCTGTGGGTCCACAGATCCAGCATCAAGGGACATGGTTGGAAAGGTAGAATCTCAGGCCCCACCTCAACTTTTAACAAGACTCCAGGGGACTGGCGTCTATCTTCACATTTTCAAGCACTGGTGTAGGCGGTAAGGAAAACAGAGTCAAGAGAAGGCTGGGTGTGTGCTGCCCCAGAGGGTGGGCCTGTGGGAGCTGGAAAGGGCCCCAGCAGAAAGGTGAGGAGGCCAGCAGGGACTTTCCAGGTCTGTGTGGGTCCCAGCCCTGCCAGGGGAAGTTTCCTAGACTGAGAACTCGGCTGGCTCCCTGCTACTTTTCATACTCGGACCCACCTCCAGGACGAAGCCTGATGGCGGTAGGGGTGCGCTCACCTTCATCCCAGCCACGTCGATGCGGGTCCTCACCTGGAAGTGGGCGCCCACCTGGATGACCCTGGGTACACAGTACAGCAGCATGTTGTTGAACTGGAGGAGACACAGGCAAGGGTGTGAGCACAGGGCCAGGCAGGGTTTTCCCAGGGGGGTGAATGCCCCTGAACCTCCATCCCCTCTCTTCACTCTCTGGCCAGTTCACAGGACATGGCAGGTGTGACAAGGAAGAGCGTGACTAGACGCCGACCCATCTAGGCCAATCTCTGCAGGTCTCCCTATCTGCAGGCTCCAGACAGCAGAGACTTGTGTCAGACCTCCAGGCAGGGCCAATGACCCCCTGGAGTCTTCAGGGCAAACCCCGGCTGTTCGTTCTAGCAGCTAACCTAATTCCATCCTGCTGTGCACTCTCCAAAACACAGATTGATGCCACAGGCTTTGGTGCCAAACAGACGACATTCAAACTGACTCTGCTGAATCCGAGGGCACGTCTGGGAAGGCCCTGCCCTGGGAATCCTGAGGCCAGAGGCACCACGTGACTTGTTCTGAGTCACCCAAGTACCGAAGCAGAGGACAGAGAACAGGCTTTCCTCTATTCCTCCTGCAATGTCAGGTGCCAGGCAGGCAGCCCCCAGGGCAGGGTGGACCATGGACTTCCCTCCCCAGGCACAGGTGGTCCCAACATCTCCTACCAAGAAAAGGTAGCGCTCGATAGGGTCACTGCGACGGAAGGAAATCTTGAGGACGGGACCCTCACGCAGCAGGGTGTTGGAGGGGTCTACAATGTCGTCCTCAAGGCCCAGGCGCTGGTACACCTCCCACAGGTCTTGCAGCCGCTCCTGGGACAGGGGAGGCACCCTCAGGCAAGGCTGTGGGGACCTATTGGCTTCTGAAAGGTTTGCTTTGTATCCAGGACTGAGTGTGAGGGGAGGGCAGCAGCGGGGACAGGTGTCACCAGGCCAGATCAGGGGATGAGCGACTCTGGAGGGGTGGGGGGAGGCTGAAAGCCATAGGGAGGAAGGTGACCCCTACCCCAGGGAGATGCCAGCTGCTTCCACACACGGGGTGGGGTGCTCACCATCTCGGTAATGGCTGCATTGGAGTGTTGCGCAGCTGAGAAGATCATGTCAAGGGCTTCTGGGGGGGAGGGGCAGGACCAGAGTTATCCCCTAAAATCTGGGGCTGGAGGTGCCTGAGGTTAATCAAGTGACCTCGGACAACTCCAAGCCTCCTCCCCACCTCCCTGGGAGCAGTCTGTACTTCACATGGGGCGTCCAGCTAATTGGGGGGTCATGTTCCAGCTAGGGTGGCTTTCTGGACTTAGTCATCCCGTTTCTATAACTCCCACTGTTTCCCTAACCAAGTCAGACCCAGAGGATGCCGTGGAAAGATGAGCTTTGGCATCACACAGGAATGGATTCAAGTTCCAACTTTGCTCCTTTCTGGCCTTGTGAACTCGAGTAAGTTACTTTGGGGTTACTCCTGGGCTAAGGCCAGATCTTCAGCTGCAAGAATGGCCGCTGGTACAGATCATAGCCATGAAACACCAACAACAACCAACACCAATGATGTCATCATCATTTGAGGTGTTTCGCAAATCTATGGGAGTGGCTCAGGCCTCCCAGCCCCTGGCCCCACCCCCGGGCATCCTCACTCTGGGCATCAGCTCGGTCCGGAGCCTGGGCTGGCAGCTTCTGGACATAGTCCTTGAGCAGCAGTTCATAGCGTGGGATTCTCTGCACAGGCTCCAGCATGTGGTGCTGCAGGGTCAGGCTGCCCGAGGCCTCGCTGTTCTTGGGGAGGATGGCAGGGAGGAATAGGCCGGGGTGAGGGTGGGGAGGGACAGGTCAGGTGGACAGAGGCGTGGACAGAATGCCTGGGTACTGGCACCTGGGAGGGCTGCTCAGCCTGGGAGCTGCCCAAAACCACTTGGGGAAACCAAACCATTGCAGGTTCTGGATGCCCTCTGCCCCTCCCCACCATACTGCCACCCCTCAACCTCACCTGAATGCGAGTAATAATCTCCTGGAAGGGTGGAGACTTGTCAGTCCAGGTGGCCAGCACCTCGGCAGCTCGCTCAAAGTTCTTGACATACTCACTGTACATCTTCAGGAAGGGCGCCAATTTCTGAATTACGTCACCAATGCGGGGAGTGGCGGTCCTGCAGAAGGGTCCCCAGGTACTTCAGCCTGGGACACTTCTGTCCACTCCAGACAGGGTTGGGTTAGACCAGGCTCCCCAAGCCTCTCCCTAAATGGCCTTTCTGCCTCACTTCTGCATGCAGAGATGGGGACAGTCACCCTCACCCACATGCTTGTGGTCTGCCCCCCTTAGGCTGTGACATCCAGATGGCAGATGTTCTTCTCTTTCAAGGACTGGGCTTTCCAAAGTGCCATCAAGTGTGGGAGCCACAGCAGGGGTTCAGTGACCACTTGATGCTGTCCAGCTCCTCTCATTGCATTCTCACAACTAAAGATGAGGAGGGGGACAGTTACCCGCCAAGCTTAGAATAAGAAAGAGCTTCTCTGGACTCATCCTGGGGCAGGACCCCGAGGTCATTCAAGCCAGGGACAGTCACAGCAGAGGTAGGCCACATCTGGAGGTACCTGTTCATTTGATTCCTGACTGTACAACTTCCTCTATCTATCTGTTCTTGGGCAAATGACTAAGCCTCTCTGTACCTCAATTCTCCCACTTAAAAAAAATGGAAATGACAATACCTGACCGCCCCCCTTCCAGCATCGTTATTTTTTTTGAAACACAGTTTATTAGGGAAAGTGTACGTAGTTGTAAATTAACCATGAGTATAAATAGAATGTTTTAGAAAGACTATCATAACAAACCCCTACATATCTCCAACAGGATAGACACTATTATTAACATTTTAAAGGTCATCCCAGACATCATGACAAAAAATAGATAACACGTCATTTCACCACTAAAAACTTTCATGGTCATCTTTAATATAAAAGGAGGCTTCCTGCAGATCCATGATGTTGTCAGCACACAGGAGGTTAAGTGGATGTAAAATCCAAGGCTGGGTATGTGGGAAGCGTGCAGTGAGCACAGACTATTCCCCCTACCTCCCCAATCATTGGGCCTAGTGAGGATTTCCTTGCCCAGGAGACACACACACATCCAAGCCCCTCGTGGTATCCAAACACTGGGTCCACAGGAGACTGTCATGGCCACAGTAGGGACACAGGCCAGACCCAGTGGCCCGGGGCAGCTCCCACAGGGCTGTGTCACGGGCCTCAGGACCTCACCAGTCATCCAGTCGCCTCTGCAGCTCTGGAAGGAAGAACTGTGCGTGGAACTGGTAGATGGAGGAGATGTTGGAGAAGATGAGCTTGACCACATCCTCGGGGAAGGCCTTGGTGCTGCGGGCCTCCTTCAGCAGCTCCTGGAAGAACACCTGCAGCCGCACGGGTCAGCCGGCCCGCGGCGGAGAAGACCCAATTACCAGCCCCCGGGAGACCAGCACAGCCCAAGGGGCGGCCAGGAACCCCAGCCCTCACCTCCTTAATCTCCCATCTTCCTTGCAACCACCCCAGGAGGAGAAAGATAGGGAAGACTGGAGTGTGGCCACTTGACAAATGGGGAAACTAAGACCTAGTGACGCAGGGACTGGGCCAAAGGTCGGCAGCTGATGAATGACAGAAACGGGCCCATCCTGGGCCTGTCAACCAGGCTAAGGCTGTCTCTGCTGATGGTCAGTGATTTAAGCCTCTAGCTCCGAGATTCCTTAGGACAGTGCAAAGGGTCAAGTAACCGTAAGGATGTTGGTGTTGGGGTGACAGAGGAGAGTGCTGTGTGGGGCTTGGAAGGACCAGCTAGTGTATACGTTGCTACTCATGAGGTCAACCCTGGCACTGGGTGGTCATGGAACAGGAGTGGCACCAATAGCCTGATTTCTGTCCAACTCAAGCCATGTGCCTAAGGACAGAGGCTCCCTGGAATCAAATGCAGGGGTCCTGACTCTTGGCCCTGGTGAGGTGGATGAGTGGGTGGGGTGAGGTGACCCCGTGCCGGGGCTCAGGGGGTGTCCTGCCCACTGGCCTGGTCCAGCAGGTGGAGGCGTGCTACATAGGCTTGCTCAGTCTCCAGCAGCTCCTGGACGATCCTCTTCTCAGGCTCCTGCAGGGGTTCCGGGAAGAAAAGGAGAAGAAGGACAACCTTGTCTCTTCTAAACAAGGCTCGTGGCCCCAGCCTCTGACGAAGGGCTGGTGAAATGTTCTCCAATGTTGTGTGCTGCTGCAGTGCATCTGGCTGGCACTGGGAGGGCTTTAATAAGGGGAAGAGCACACATGTGGCTGTTCTGGATCTGGGGCTAAGTACTGAGAGGCCTAGAAGCTTCCACTTGACTCTCTTGGGAGCCATGAACTGCTGCCTCTGGAGGCCTGGCTGCCCTCGTGGGGAGATCCTAAGACTACAAGGAGAGAAGAAGGACCCCAGCTGTGCAGCACCCCAGGTGCACCCAGCCTTCCCCCGCCCCTGTCCAGGCAGCAGCTTTGAGTGTTGAGCTGTCTGGGGTATTCTGGCCCAGCCACCATCTGACTGTAGACCCATGAGAAACCCTGTTAAAGGCTGAATTATGTGCCCCACTCCACAGTTCCCTGCAAATTCCTATGTTGATGAACTCAACACCGTAACAATAGTTGGAGGTAGCCTTTAAAGGGTGTAATTAAGGTTCATGGAATTCATAAAGATGGACCCCTAATCCAATGAGACTGGGGTTCTTGTTAGAAGAGGGAGAAGACTGGGAGGTGAGGACACAGTGAGAAGCAACCTTCTACAAACCAGGAGGAGAGCCTCACAAAACCCGACCCTGATGGCACCTGCCCTGGGACTATGAGAAAATAAAGGCCCATTGTTAATGTCACCCCAGGGGTGGTGCTTTATGACAGCAGCCCAAGCTGACCAAGGCAAGCCCCGAGAGAGGCCCTCAGGAAAACCCACCCAATAGCATTTCAGTCAACACATGAAATTGTGAAAAATAATCACTTGTATTTGGCCCCATGTTTTAGATGGTTTGTTAACCACCTAAACCAGATAGATGGTAACAACCAGAATACACTACTGTGATCACCACCCCCATTTTACAGATGAGGAAAATGAGGTACGAAGAAGGTACAGTGACGTGCCCAAGCTTACATTGAGAGTAAGCAAAAAGTTGGACGTGAACCTGGTGGGCGGCCCACCCTCAAAATCTACAGACATGGAAACTGCTTCCCTCCGTGGGTAAACTGAGGCCACACCCAGGACGGGTATCAGCCTCACAAGGTGGAGACTGGCCTAACCTGGACAAGGCCCTAAAGCTGTCTGGTTTTTGATGTCCTGATCTAGAAGACTCGTACAGTAGGGACAAATGATCGATGCCCACAGTGGGGCGCACAGAGACAATTAAAGGGAGGCAACCCTAACTTCACCCAGCTCACTAGGCACAGAGAAGCCCACTGGGGGAAGTGCTGTTTCTGGCTGGGAGAGAATTTGTGGGAGGTCAGGGGATGGGGGGGCCCAGATCCCCACTTCAACCACAGCCCTTAAGCACCTGTGCCCTGGGTTCAGGGCCGGTCCCAGGCTGGGAAGGCTTCCTCCAGTCCTCGCCGCCAGACAGTCTGCACTTCAGGGAGCTCAGGTACCTCCTGCTTACTGTCCTGGACCCCGATGGCAGGGTGTTCCCGATGGTGGGAGTCTCCTGTGATCCTGGGGGTGCGGGAGGCTTGCACCCAGGTTGGTGAAGCCTAGTCCCCGGCTTGTGGACCCTGGGCTCTGTGCCAGTGTTCCTGAAGAGAAGAGAGCAGACCTGAAGGTCCTGGGTTATAGAGTAGAGAGAAGAGCAGCACCTGCTAGGTGGGGATTCTGAAGCAATTCATGCAGATCATAAGCAAAGTTTCCCAAGTGCCTGGTGCTCAAGAATCTGATAAGTAACCAGATTCTGTCCCTAACACCTTTCTTGGAGGGAACTCCAGTCTTCAGAATGAGTCAGCGTGAACTGGGTTTTATTTTCTGGGGAACTACACACTTCCTTGTTTAGAGAGCAGCGAGGAAGCACTCCTTTTGAACACAGAGTGTAAACTGCCCTCCCCCCGCCAGCCCTCTCACTTGTGGACCGAACCCTGTTTTTAATCTCTGCTGGAAAGACCCTAAAACCTTAGTAACTGAAGCGTGGACGGAAGATGGGACCCACATAACACTCTAAAAGTGCTAAAGTTGTGGTGTGCCCACTGCTCTTCAACATAACACTGGAAGTTCTAGCCAGAGCAATAAGACAGGAAAAAGGCATACAAGGAATCCAAATAGGGAAAGAAGAAGTAAAACTATCTTTATTTGCAGATGATATGTTAATTTATATGGAAAACACTAAAAGCTCCACAGAGGAACTAAT